TTTAAGTCCCTGCGAGCAGAGGACCATTTGAAACATTTGCAGGAAACCTTCGACATACTATGGGAATACAACATGAAGCTGAACCCGGAGAAGTGTGTCTTCGGAGTCGGCTCAGGCAAGTTCCTCGATTTTATGGTATCTAACCAAGGAATAGAGATCAAACCGGATAAAATAAAGGCCATAGAAGATATCACCGAGGTTGACAACATCAAGGCGGTACAGAGGCTAACCAGGATAATAGCCGTATTGGGCCGATTTATTTCTAGGTCATCGGATAAGAGCCACCAATTTTTCTCACTACTAAAGAAAAATAACGGTTTCTATTGGATCCCGTAATTCCAAAAGGCTTTTGAAGAACTCAAACGATACTTATCAAGTACTCTTTTGCTGCGCACCCCGAAGGAGAACGAGCAGTTGTACCTTTACTTGGCAGTCTCCGAGGTAGCGGTAAGTGGTGTCCTAGTCAGGGAAGAAGAATGTACGCAGCTTCCTATTTATTATGTTAGTAGAAACCTAGGTGCTGCCGAAACGAGGTACCCAAACCTAGAGAAATTAGCATTTGCCTTGTTAAGCGCATCTAGGAAACTAAAACCATATTTTCAATGTCACCTTATATGTGTCATGACCTCGTATCCGCTAAGGAATGTTATGCATAAACCCGAGCTTTCAGGTCGGTTAGCAAAATGGACCATAGAGGTTAGCATGTATGATATTGAGTATAAACTTCCAACAACTATAAAGTCTCAGATTTTGGCAGACTTCGTGGCCGATTTCACACCGGCCTTGATCCCCGAGGTCGAGAAAGAATTATTATTTGCCTCGGGGACTAGCTCGGGGGTATGGACCCTAATCATGGACGTTGCATCCAACGCGAAAGGGTCCGGGTTGGGAATCGTACTAAAAGCACCCACGGGTAATGTAATAAGGAAATCTATTAGAACTGTAAAATTGACTCACAATGAAGCCGAATATGAGGCTATGATTGCAGGTCTAGAACTGGCTAAGAGCCTGGGGGCTGAGGTGATCGAAGCCAAGTATGATTCCCTCCTCGTTGTTAACCAAGTTAACAGAACATTTGAAGTAAAAGAAGACCGGATACGGAGATACTTGGATAAATTACAAGTGTCGTTACATCAGTTCAAGGAATGGACACTACAACATGTGTCCCGAGATCAGAATAACGAGGTCGATGTACTGTGTACAGGTAAAATCGGGGATAAAGTTACCCCCAATTTTCCGATGAAGAAACGAGGGACAGCGTGATTCGACGTTGGCTCGGGTAAGGCCGAGGGTGCCCACAAATCGGAGCCCGGGGGACGAATGATACGTTGAAAATCGGGCATTGCCAAACATGGGAAGAATCAAGCTCGAGCGAAACAAAGAATCAAGGTTAAAGGGAAGACGGTTAAAGAGGACGAACGAGGAGTCGAAATATCCGCCATCAACCGGATATTACGGCGCGAATCACGCCCGATATTAACTGCGGATCGTGTTTTACTGGGAAAAAAAGGAAGAAAAGGATTTTTACCTTATTTAGAGTTGTACTAGGGTTTAAACTCCCCTACTATATAAATGGGAGAACCTTTTCAATTTTTTACCACTGTTAGCACGCATATCAAAGCAATAAAGTTTACTTTTATTTTTTAGCAATTATTCAAGTGTTCTTCAGCTATTATCTCATTCAACTTAAACCGAGGCCCCTCCCGAGGGCTCGATTGGAACCAGTTTCTACATTCGAACCTAACGCCAGGCTTAGTTATTTAATCACATTTGGTTTGATCGTTTTGCTTTCTTTTAATTCGATTATTTGCTATTTTTTGATCATTCGTGTTAAATTAAATCATGTATCCTTTAAACCGCGTACAAATTTAATTTTTACTCGGAAAACAATGTCACGTGCCAAGCACCCTGTACTCAAGCTTCTTTTATGTTACTATTTTAGCAAATACAGGTATAGGGGTGGAGAACGTGCAAGGTAGGACGTCAACTTCCTCTCAGTCATCTGATGAGCTTTACCTCTTGTTCGATAAAAGTCAATTATATTTGTCCTGCTTTGTTCATCTTATTCAAAGAGGCTCCCATAAACATAGTGGGTCATTTTATTTTGGCACGGCATTTACATGATGTAATCGCAGGAAATGGAATATGTATAAACTGTGTTATCTTATAAAGAGGCCAAGGACATTTAAATTCTACTAATCTTGCAATCAAAGCTTGTCAGATTCTGTTGGGAGAATTACAAATCCAATAATTCCTGCGTGAGTCATCTGCTAGCTAGGGTATAAATGTATCTTTTTCACCATTTTCAGATTATCAATGAATCAATTAGCCTAATCACTAGAATAGCGTAGGTTTCTCTTAGCTTAATTTCGTGTTGTTTTTCCTTTTTTGGTTTCCAATGTGAAATGAGGTCTGCAACATTTTGACATAAAAAACTAGACGTACCGACTTTGGAAATTTGCTATACGTAGAGGAAGATAAAGATATCTGGGAGCAGCGACATTAGCACACTAACAGACAGTCTCTGTAGGTCCCGCACAAGTCGGTACTCCTGTAATTATCAATCTGATATTTGTACAAGCATAAAGGCGGTACAGAGGCTGACCGGGATAATAGCCGCATTGGGCCGATTTATTTTTAGGTCATCAGATAACAGCCACCAATTTTTCTCGCTACTAAAGAAAAAGAACGGCTTCTACTAGACCCCGTAATTCCAAAAGGCTTTTGAAGAACTCAAACGATACTTATCAAGTCCTCCTTTGCTGCGCACCCCGAAGGCGAACGAGCGACTGTACCTTTACTTGGCAGTCCCCGAGGTAGCGGTAAGTGGTGTCCTGGTCCGGAAAGAAGAAGGTACGCAACTTCCTATCTATTATGTTAGTAGAAACCTAGGTGCTGCCGAAACGAGGCACCTAAACCTAGAGAAATTGGCATTTGCCTTGTTAAGCGCATCTAGGAAACTAAAATCATACTTTCAATGTCACCTTATATGTGTCGTGACCTCGTATCCGCTAAGAAATGTTATGCATAAACCCGAGCTTTCAGGTTAGCTAGCAAAATAGGCCATAGAGGTTAGCGTGTACGATATTGAGTACAAACCTCCAACAACTATAAAGTCTCAGATTTTGGCAGATTTCGTGACCGATTTCACACCGGCCTTGATCCCCGAGGTCGAGAAAGAATTATTATTTGCCTCGGGGACTAGCTCGGGAGTATGGACCCTATTCATGGATGGTGCGTCCAACGCGAAAGGGTCCGGGTTGGGAATTGTACTAAAAGCACCCACGGGTAATGTAATAAGGAAATCTATTAGAACTGTAAAATTGACTTACAATGAAGCCGAATATGAGGCTATGATTGCAGGTCTAAAACTGGCTAAGAGCCTGGGGGCTGAGGTGATCGAAGCCAAGTGCGATTCCCTCCTCGTTGTTAACCAAGTTAATGGAACATTTGAAGTAAAAGAAGACCGGATGCGGAGAAACTTGGATAAATTACAAGTGACGTTACATCAGTTCAAGGAATGGACACTACAACATGTGTCCCGAGATCAGAATTAAGAGGTCGATGCACTGTGCACGGGTAAAATCGGGGATAAAGCTACCCCTAATTTTCCGATGAAGAAACGAGGAACAGCGTGATTCGACGTTGGCTCGGGTAAGGCCGAGGGTGCCCACAGATCGGATCCCGGGGGACGAATGATATGTCGGAAATCTGGCATTGCCAAACATGGGAAGAATCAAGCTCGAGCGAAACAAAGAATCGAGGTTAAAGGGAAGACGGTTAAAGAGGACAAACGAGGAGTCGAAATATCCGCCATCAACCGATATTACGGCGCAGATCACGCCTGATTTTAACTGTGGATCATGTTTTACTGGGAAAAAAGGAAGAAAATGATTTTTACCTTATTTAGACTTGTACTGAGGTTTAAACTCCCCTACTATATAAATGGGAGAACCTTTTTATTTTTTCACCATTGTTGGCGCGCATATCAAAGCAATAAATTTTACTTTTGTATTTTAGCAATTGTTCAAGTGTTCTTCAACTATTATCTCATTCAACTGAAATCGAGCGCCCTCCCGAGGGCTCGATTGGAACCAGTTTCTAGCATTCGAACCTAACGCCACGCTTAGTTATTTTATCACATTTGGTTTGATCATTTTGCTTTCTTTCAATTCGATTATTTGTTGTTTCTTTGATCATTCGTGTTAAATTAAATTATGTATCATTTAAACCCCGTATAAATTTAGTTGTTACTCATTTTAAGGGTAAACAATGTCACGTACCAAGCACACTGTACTCAAGCTTCTTTTATGTTACTATTTTAGCAAATACAGGTATAGGGGTGGCGAACGTGCAAGGTAGGACGTCAACTTCCTCTCTGTCATCTGATGAGCTTTACCTCTTGTTCGATAAAAGTCAATTATATTTGTCCTGCTTTGTTCATCTTAGGCTCCCATAAACATAGTGGGTCATTTTAATTTGGCACGGCATTTACATGATGTAATCGCAGGAAATGGAATGTGTATAAACTGTGTTATCTTATAAAGAGGCCAAGGACATTTAAATTCTACTAATCTTGCAATCAAAGCTTGTCAGATTCTGTTGGGAGAATTATAAATCCAATAATTCCTGCGTGAGTCATCAGCTAGCTAGAGTATAAATGTATCTTTTTCACGATATTCAGATTATCAATGAATCAGTTAGCCTAATCACTAGAATAGCGTAGGTTTCTCTTAGCTTAATTTCGTGTTGTTTTTCCTTTTTTGGTTTCCAATGTGAAATGAGGTCTGCAACATTTTGACATAAAAAACTAGACGTACCGACTTTGGAAATTTGCTATACGTAGAGGAAGATAAAGATATCTGGGAGCAGAGACATTAGCACACTAACAGACAGTCTCTGTAGGTCCCGCACAAGTCGGTACTCCTGTAANCAGACGAAGATAAAGATATCTGGGAGCAGAGACATTAGCACACTAACAGACAGTCTCTGTAGGTCCCGCACAAGTCGGTATTCCTGTAATTATCAATCTGATATTTGTACAAGCATAAAGAACACTGCCCAACATACATATATGTATATATTTATATATATCAAAATGAAGTGGACTTTAGTAGCATCGACCATCTGTTGGTAGCTTCAAGGTATTACATCTAATACAACGGGTCTGAACCTGGAATTTCTGGTGGAAACCGAATATTTCCAGGACAATGGCACCTAAATCTTAGTACTTGGCTTCAAGTTTAATTTGCTGGGCTCTGGCAGCTTGCAGTTCCTAACTTCAATCATGCATAGCAGTTACAGCAGAGAAGAAAAAAAAAATACTTCATTGATGTATAGAGACTGATCGTACTGATCTCTCAGAACCATGTATCTCGATCACGGGATGCATGCCAAGAAAATTACTCCATTTAGATTTTCTTCCACTGTTAAACCCGTCAGAACAAAACCTGCTAAATCTCACGCCAAAGCTTGAATCATAACCCCTCTCAGTTTCACGGAGCAAAAAGAACTATGTTTGAACTTCAGCCAAACCAATCACTCAACTCTTCTGAAGTCCCTATTCTCTGCACATAAAAAGATGTCACATAAGCAAAGCTAGTACCAACGATGCCATGCTTTCTTACAATGGCTAAATGTATGGAAAGAGATCCAGGCATGAAAACAATATCCATATCAGGTTCTTCACAGCATGAAGACAACTTCTGAAAGGCCAAAATCACCAAAGAGAATTTAAATTTCTATTTACTATATACTAGTCTAACCTGACAGCATCCAGCAAGTGCTACCCTTTATGCAACTGATATACTTGAAACGATATAACATTTATAGCTTAGATCTAAACAGGTATATTAGCTTATTTACATTCAAATGGACAAAAAAAGAATAATTCATATTTCTGGGGATTAGCAAATGAAAGGACATTGATCATGAAGAATACAGGCACCTTTTATTTCCATCTGAGAGGACAGCAGACACCTGCGACATTTTCAAAAATGGTTCTGAATCACTCTCCCATCGTATAGGTTTATTATACAACTTTTGCCTCTCCATTGACTACTGCATTTCCACTTTTGCTGGAGATGTTGCCGCCACTTTTCTTCATTTGGGGCTTGTCTGGTCCATCCTTTTCTGGACTTACTAATCTCTTGGCTGCTTCTTTCCCTGGGCTTGATAACTTCATAGTAACTGTTTTGTCCTTGAGAGATTCCGCACTTTTTGATGCTGAACCATCATTTGATACAGTCACAGCTTTCTTAGGTTTACCCTTATCTGAAGCTTTTGGTGAAACTACATTGTCATTTGAAAGGCTAGCATTGCGTGGCTTTGTACTTTGCTTCTCTGGCTCTGGATCAGGGAGTAATGCACGCCGGCTCAAACGAAGTTGCCCCTTGTCATTGATCTGTAATGAGACAAGATCTCAAAATGTCAACTGCTTCTGATTTCCATTTTTTATTATAAGTAATCAATTGTTAAAGGTTTCATATGCACTCGCTAAAAGATGCTAAATACATGTGCTCTTACTTGCATTCTGGAAAGAAATACTAGCAAGAAACAACCTCACAACAAACTAATTTGAATATTAAGGTTGGCTGATTTAGTAAAACCACAACTTCAACCAGAAGAGAGATCGTTTAGTAGGCCAAATTCAAATTTCTAAAACTCAATCATAACTTAGAAGAATACAAATCTAAAGCCAGGAACAGAGGAAGAGATACAAATTCTCCTCCCCAGACACTTTCACTTTATCTTTTTCTGTCGAGCATTTAGAAACATCTATGAAAAACACATAAAACCTGAAACTACTGACTGCTTGCACCTTTAACAGATTAAATCCATTAATACCAAGTTAACAGGCTAAACAACTAATTCGAAAAATTCAGACTTCACAACAGTTTAAATTTTCACCACTATCTGCAAGAAAATAAAAGCATGACTTTGCAACATAAGAAGCCATAACATTTGGTTGAACTTATTTAGGGAACTGTCAGTCTCAAAGTTAGTAACCGACCAACACCCCAGCAGATCGTAGTAATAGGGTCCATAAGAAACAAGTTCCATATCCATCTGTGTGGATTAATAATCATAATGCAAGGACATGTACTCTTCTGAATACTATAACAGAAATGACAAATGACACTGGAGCTAGTAAGTATTGAGCAAAGCTGAGAATCACAATGCAGTAGAGCCNGAACATCCTTGCACAGAAGCTTACCTTTCCTTATGCGAAGTACCAAAACTTGGTAAACAATAGATAATTCAGTCATTGGAGTAGTATATCAGTATCCAAAATAACTTAATGAATTAGCCTTGACTCCAGAAGAAGAATCCATAGATCTCGCTTTATCCAAGGGAAAATGTAAGAAAATGAGAAAAGTTCACTACAATTTCAAGACATAATGCACCAGTGAAGAAAAAATTAGCTCAGGCATCTGCATCTATATAAAGGTTTTTTATATCAAAGCTTTAGTAGACCGTGCCAGAATGTATACATAGATTCAGATGGGATCTTGTCCTTCTCAATCAAGGAGAACAAAGAAAATATGGTGAAGCTTGTGAGCGGAGGAGATGAGAAAAGAAAGGATTTCATCTCCTTGAGCTTTCCCTATTCTAAAGGTCTACAATTTAAATGAGAACTGTAGGCAGGGCGAAGAGAAAACTTCATCAATTTCTAGGCAACCAATTGCCAGGAAAAAAAATATAAGTATTAAATGAGGACATCTCCGAAACCCTAAGGGATAGAAAGATACATTTGGAAAATCGTGAAGCAAGTCACGTAACATATGAGGACAAGATGTCTTCCATCAGTTATATTTAAGCAAGAAGTTGGAAGTGCAAGCCATCAAATTTATTTTGTATCTTGAAGTGCCAAATGACTAAAAACCTTAGTTTTACGTGAAGGAAGCCAAGGAAACAACAAATGTCATTCATAAAGATTTGATACCATTACGTAATAATGGAAAACTTAACAGTCTTCGAAGACTCCTGAGCATTTCTGCAGCCCTCAAGTTTGCTATGTTAATCAACAGTCATAAGTATGACACAACATTCTTCAAAGACCATAAACGATTTGTAACACTACATTCTTATGAGCACAGTGCAACCATACGAGAATAAGTTTGAGCATGACTCCTACATGTTTAATTTAACCTATCTTAAACGGACAATTCAAATCATCATTGCAGGGGCTACCAACTAAAAGATGGAAAAGGACCAGCACAAGAAAGAAGCGGAGAAACCATCGAAGCTTTCTAAATCCAAAGTTTTACAACTGAAGAGGTTAATTAATATTTGACTCGGCATGGAGTTACAAAATATGAAGACTTTTGAAGCTTGTGGCCTTAAACATACCATAATATTTGTGTGGCTATAAGCCATTTGAAACTTGTGGTCTTAGACATTCCATAACATTTGTGTGGCTATAAAAGCTTCTCGTTAAGGGTAAAATGTGTAAAATGTAAAGTTTAAAGTTGAATTGTTTACAAATATAGAATGTGTCATTCTTTTTGGAACAGATTAATAAGGAAAATGTGTCACATAAGCTGAAACGGCGGGAATATATTTACCTTACCAGGTATCTCAAGGCTGAATACAGTGCTGTATTACCAAATATAAGGTACAGTAAAGATATTAAGGTAATACTTGCTTTGCAAGATTACATATGATTTGAAGAATCCACATCAAAAATCATTCTCCACCCAAGACAGGTAAGAGACGCATTAGTTAGTGCAAAGCAAAAGTGACAAAAAAGCAGCATCACATAGACAGTTGTCAAAGGAAAACCATAATTAGCAGTGTTCTAGATGTAAAGGAAAGAGAGCTCAACCTCAATGAGCTTGACATCCAGGTGGTCTCCTACTTTGAAAGCCTGTAATTAGGAAACAGGTTATACTATTTTATCATGACCATTCGAATTGTTAAATGCAATAACATATAAGTGACTTGTGAGCTTACATCTTCAGCCTTGGCTAGCCAATTTGCACTCAGCTCACTGATATGGCATAATCCCTGAATTTAACATAATTGCAATAATTAGAAGAGCACCCTGATGCTGAAATTTTTGGACAGGAGAAACAATCATCTTTACAAATAAGCATGATAAATAACAGTGTCAAACGAATGAGTCAGCATGACAATTACTTCTAGTAGATGAAACATAAGAAAGAATAGCATCTTATTGTTTACATGTTTGAGTAGACAAAACATTATACCTCTCGTCCAGGCGCAATCTCCACAAAAACTCCATAAGGTGCAATAGATTTAATCTCACAATTCCTGATTAGGCAAAAACGGGAAATACAAAAGCGCAATTAATCAAAACCAGAAACAATTCAGCAGTTTTAAAGATTTGATAAATTAGAAATTTAGGCATCAATGGCACAAGAAATATGTGAAGTACGAGAATGATGCCCAGGAGTTGCACATGTTGAGTAACTGTAATGCAGATCTCAAAGCTACAAAAAAGATCTCTGGATAGTATAATGATAAAGTTCTCTTTAATAAGTAGGATTGAGAGGAGACCTATATATGTCACCAACAACTGGAACCATCGTTAGACTACTTATGATGGCTTTTGACTTTTCCAGGCTTGACAAGTCCTTTGCAGTTATTTTTACCTGCAATAACCTCATTAAGATTTTGAAAGTTATAATATTCAAATTGACATGCTAATCAAAAACTAGAAACTTAGTTTTTCTCCCTAACTGACCACGCCATCATCTTGTGTGTCAATAGCTTCAACACCAGTTTCTTCAATAATACTCTTCACCTTCTTCCCCCCAGAGCCAATGATGAGGTTTATTTTTTCTGGTTTAACCTATGAAATCATTGACAAACATGATTGAAATCTGTTCATTTAATCACCACTACAGATGAAGCGAGCATCAGATGGACAACAGACCTTCATAACATGGATTAGCGGAGCATGCTTAGAGAGCTTTCTTGAAGGGGGTGGCGAGCATTTTGACATCTCAGCTGAAGAGCACAAATTAAAAGAGCCAAAACAAGTTCATCAGGAGAAGAATGCAATTCGAGAAGTTGTATAGAAAGTCATCAACAGAAGAAAATTCTGAAAGAAAAAACTTTGAGATTCATTATTCTGATAAATGTCAAAATGCACAACATGCTAATACAACAGACATCAATATGTATGCTAAATGTTATACTTCCTCTGCCACAGTTGATAAAATCCACTTTTGAAGCATCTCTTGAAATTTACAGTGTAACAGCTTTCAAACTTTCATGAAATCTCACCTAACAATTCAAATTTCTATACCAAGACTTATATTTTCCAGATGAAGCAACTATTCAACTGCTCCAATATTTTATGTGCTATTACCATTATTATATATTATATACGTAGAATGTCGTTAACAAACGTACTGAACTAAAGCGCCGACATAGAAGGGGATGAAGGGAGTAATGCAGAATATGTAGAAACTTCAAGAGGGAAAGAAACTAAAGGAGAAACTATATATTGAAAAGAATTTTAGCTGTTGCAACTCTCTTTCATGGGGAGAATGTTGTCGCATACCGGAAGTGTTATCTACAAGCACTATCCTAACACGTCAGGAAAAGCCTAGAAGCTGAAATAAGTATCTTCTGAGACTAGGATTTTTCAAAACGAAAATCGCAAGCGACAAGGTTCTTTGAGCTTGAAGCAAAAAGCGAGAAGTGAAGCCCACGCTTCTTTGAAGTGAAACGCATAATTACAGATAATTAAAAATACAAAATATATATAAAGTTAGTACTAATAATCAAATTAAAATGCAAAACATATATAAAACGCTAGGATCTGGAAACCAAACCTGGAGTCTAATGGTTTTAGGTTGAGCAGAACTAAGACAGAATACCAGGAGTGTAAGTACAGTGGACGTAACTCATGAAGCGGACGTGAAAGTAAGGCTTGGGACACAAGTCATCCCCAAGAGAGGAAGTTTCAAGTATCTTGGGACAATAATCCAAGGTAATGGAGAGATTGACGATGATGTCATCCATCGTATTGGGGTGGGGTGGATGAAATGGAGGCTCGCATCCGGTGTCTTGTGTGATAAGAATGTGCCACCACGACTTAAAGGTAAGTTCTATAGAGTGGTTGTTAGGCCGACTATGCTGTATGGGACGGAGTGTTGGCCAGTCAAGAGCTCGAATGTCCAGAAGTTGAAAGTAGCGGAAATGAGGATGCTGAAATGGATGTGTGGGCCTACTAGAAGAGATAAGATTAAGAATGAAGACATTCATGACAAGGTAGTAATAGCCTCCGTGGTGGACAAGATGCGCGAACTAAGGCTGAGATGGTTCGGGCATATTAAGAGGAGAGGCCCATTTGTCCCAGTGAGAAGGTGTGAGAGGTTGGCCATGGTGGATCTGAGGAGAGGTAGAGGAAGACCAAAAAAGTATTGAAGAGAGATGATAAGGCAAGACATGACACATCTGCAGCTTACCGAGGACATGGCACTTGATAGGAATGTGTGGAGGTCGAGAACTAGGGTAAAACACTAGCAGGTAGTCACGCGTTTATCCTTATCCTACCTGTAGCATCAATAGTATTCTCCTACTTTCTTATACTTAGATCCTTATTATTACCGGTTGTTTCTTTTGCTTCAGTATTCTTAGTATCTTGTTGCTTTTTGTAGTGCTTCGTGTTACTGCTTCCTTTTCATGGTTTCTCCACTTCTGTATTTCTTTTCAATAATGTTGTGACTATGCTTTTTCTGAGCGGAGTGTCTATCGGAAACAATCTTTCTGCCTACACAAGGTAGGGATAAAGCTGCAAAACAGACTACCCTCCCCAAACCCTACTTGTGGGATCACATTTATTGTTGCTTTGTTGTTGTTGTTGTTGTACTAATAATCAAATTGTAACAAAAATAACTAATTTCAACATCTTTTTACTATAATGTCGATATTAATCCAACCTCTAAAAGTTGAGATCAAAGAACCAACCGCTTTTCGTTTGGATCATTTATGTGAGTCATTATTTGAAGTGCACACTTCACCGAAGCGCATAGCTTCAACTGTGATGCAATAACCCCTTGCTTCGCATCGCTGCACTGAAGTGCATTGCTTCAACTGTGAAGCGATAACGCCTGCTTCGCATTGCTTCATCCTTTGGCTTTTAATAACAGTGATTTAAACTAATCAGATTACTAGTGTCAAACAACGGAGAGTTGCCTGATTCTGCTGCACAACATCATCTTTCAGATTAGGGATAGAAGTAGCCTGAACAGGGGTATAGTAGCTAGAGGAAGCTTTAGGACTTTGTATATGTAATATATCACTAATATGCTGATTATGGTGTTCTAGGGGACTAGTTATAGTGGAAATGCGGGTGCCCCTCCTGCAATGTAATGAAGTCTTTTCTCTTCAATAGAATGTAAAAGACAACATGTATATTCTTTTTAAATAAGTTATTATTTTTTTGGAGTAATTAAAAGGTAACAAACATATAAATCTAAAAAAAGAGCAAAGTTGCCTTTGAAGGATATTTTTCATTTTTTAGTTCATTGAGTTTAAACTGTTTTTTACATCCAAGAATTTCAACAGTATGGTTTTATTATTTATGAAAAATAGGAAGTTTTAGGGACCTTGATTATTGCCTAAGCTTCTTAGTGAACACATTAAGGAGCAGTATTGGGAGACTTCAGTGCTTCTGGGAAGGAATTTAAGGAATGTAGCCATACTTTACGTCCAAAAATTTCAACAGCACAAGGATCTTATTATTTATGATAAATAGGCCGTTTTCGGGTGACCTTGATTATCACCTTAGCTTCTTAACAAGCCCATCAGTAGCAGTATTAGGGGACTCCAGCGCTTCTGAGAAGGAATTTCGGGAACGTAGCCATAACTTACTTAATGGCACTAGACATGACAAATTTAGGATATATTTTAAGATTTTCCTTAATGGGTTCAATAATAGCTGCTAGCTATGAGCTATCTGTTGCAGAGTAGACTGAGCTTATTCCTAACAATTCATGCTTGATGATTTGGCTAACACACTGACTTCATTTCCCCGTTTAGTAGCTCTTCATATGTACCTCAAATAGTGTGCTGCACCACAATCACATGACGTGAAACAAACTGGTTGCTTGTCGAAACTATTTTTTAGGAGTGTGATACTACATGCAGTTTATCATTACCAAGAATGTGCTTTCGTCCATCTTTTGCTTGTAAGAGAGCTTGTTTCATGATTGGCAACGTAATTCCTCCTACCTGGCACGAAATAAGCAAAAAGTGTCATAAGCAAGTTTCGAACTGTAATTATGGCCAATATTTTGGCTAATGGAGTCTATCTCACATAAGCATAAGCATCTTTGCAAAGTGTAGACTTTGTTGGCAATATTCTTTGGGACCCAAAAATATTGCATTGTGTGTTGGACATCATTTGCACAAGTTGTATCTCTTCTTTTACACCTAAGAGGCCAAGACTTTTTTGCCTATAAAAGGGAAGGCTATTAGTTCATTTTAGACACACCAACAAGACTTGAGTCTTCATTTCTTGTTTCTTCTTTTCTTCCTTTATTAAGAGTATTTTGTATGAGAGTTAGTGTTGGAAAGCACTTGTGTGAACCCTTTCTTTGGAGTGATCTCGTGAGGTTATTCTCTTAGGGTATTTGGGATTAATTAGAGTGTTTACTCTAATTTTGTACTCTTATTGTTATAGTAAATTGCTCTCCGCTTGTGGACGTAGGTCACTTTGACCGAACCACGNGAGTGATCTCGTGAGGTTATTCTCTTAGGGTATTTGGGATTAATTAGAGTGTTTACTCTAATTTTGTACTCTT